CAGAGGGGGGCGGGGCAGCCCGCCCCGACCCTAGACCAACGCCTCACCACAGGCTCCGCCAGGCTCCTGGGAAACCCTGTCCCTGCGCCACCGCCACCGCCACCGCAGAAAGCCTTCCAGCCTGCCGGCTCATCAGGGCCTGCCCTCCGCCCGCTGGCCAACCTGCCTGCTGGAAACAATGCACGGATCTTTAGAGGCTCGTTTCCAATCAAAACACGGCGGCCTTACCGGAGCCGGTCAGCAGGGCTTACCTCCTCCTGGCGCGGAGTGGATTCTTGAATTTGTTCTCGCGTTAGCGTCCCGGTGGTCAGCCTGGGGTCCTGCGAGAACTGAGAACGGTTGGATGAAGGGTTAAATGGCTTCCAGGACTCCAAGTCCAGCGGATTCACTCAGCCTGTTTGTTATTCACAGTGAAGCGAATGTTTTGCTCACCCTGGACAAGATGCTCTTAGGCTTCTGTGGTGATACACACCCACATAAGGAGGGCACTCCGGAGTTATCTCCTGGCACCCTTGAAAAGCAGTTATTTCAAAGGCAAAGGGTACCAGCTGCTCGCAATATATATTAACAGATCATAGGAAGAAAGCAGAGTCCTGCATCCTGAAGACATCAGGGCCTACAAAACCAAGCTGGTGGCTACAGTCTTAAGACAAGACTTCAGAACATGGAGTCCAAAGTCACGGGGTTCAAATCCCCTCTTCACCACTTACTCAGCTCATTGGACTTAAAATAATTTCACTTATAAAATGCCCATTCTACTCTCTACAAGGCATAATGATTATAATAATCTAGAAGCAAAGACAAAAGGAAAAAAAACACTAATATTGATACCCTATCTTTAACATTTTGATGTCTTCTCATTTTTTTTGGATCAATTTCTATTTTTTTCACTGTTTATAGTAAACTATTTTCATTAACAATTAACATAATTTCAGGATAGGCCTGGCTCTAAGACAAGTGAAAGAACCGATGTCCGAAATCTCATCCAGAGATTTACTTCCATCATTCCTCTTAGCAGGGAATGGTGCTTCAGGGCCCCCATGTGATGTCACCCCGTGCAGCTCCTGGGTTATATCCTTGTCACCTCTCTTGAGCTGTCACCATCATGATCAATTTTTCCCCACCAAGTTCGGTGTCATTTTGTTGCAGTTTTTTGTTTGTTTGTTTGCTTGTTTGTTTGGGTTTTTTTGGAGAGGTTTTTGCTATAGGGCGCGTGCGCTCGCCAGACAGAGAGAGACATAGAGACAGAAAGCGAGAAATCACCCCCCAGGGGGGATGGTCACGCCGCAATCCATTCTCCTCCATTCTCCTCTCCGGATCTTGGGCACGCACGCACACGCACCCGGCGTGAGTTTTAAGCCACCGGGTCCGGGACGCGAACCACGGTCGACTACGTGGGAGTCCAGCAACATAGCCATTATGCTAACTGCTGGTTCCCGCAGTTGTTATTTTTAAGTAAAACGTCAGAAAATGTAAAAACGCTGCCCTTATTTCTCTGAATACGTTGAAAACAATGGAAGTCTGGAGATGTTTAATTCTTCATGAGCCCACATGGGGGCGTGACCATTACTGATGGGGAAGGCAACATACTAATTCCAACTTTGGCGACTATCAGCAAACTGGCACCTGCAATTAAACCTGCAGGCGTGAATTTTCCAGAGTGGTAGAACCTCATTCCCATAACGCCAGCCAAGGTCCCAGATGCAGCTAGGAACACCCAGATGTTCCTCCGAGCCTGATACAGCTAGTAGGCTCCCAGGCCTGCGAGCCTCCGGAAGAGGGGCCCAGCAGCCAGGGACAGCACACTACCTGCTTTCGTGTAGCCAATGATCCCGCCAGAAGCAACCAGTGCTGCATAGGCAAAGCCGAACCAATGCAAAGGCACTAGCAGGCCCGTGTCCTTCCGCATGGCTCTCTTCTCGCTCCGCCCAGACAGGAGACCACCAGGCCCAGACCTGCGCCGCTTTCCTGAAGGTCTGCATTATTGAAGGAGAGCGCGTAGGCGGCGACTGGAAGTCTCTCAATTAATATTTTTTAAAAAATATTACAGGCCAGCCCTTGATGGGGTGGTTAAGGCAGCTGGATCCCACATGGCTGGCTGCACAGTTTGAGTCCCAGACCTGGCAGCTTGAGAAACACACCAGGCACGTGTGTGCGCATGCCCAAAAGCTCAAACAGAAAGACAAATGCTCAAGTAGGGCTTGTGCGTGGCCAACCCCCAACCACAGGGGGCGCTTTCTCACGGTTTCTCTCTCTAGTGAGCACATGTGCCCTCTGCCAAAAATAGTAATAATAATAATTCATTGCATTGAAATGTTATTTATCTTGATGACTGAGTCGAGGTGCTTTAGGGACCCTCCTCCCCGTTAAGTTTCACAGAAGGCCCTAGTACCTCTCTCATCTCACCCTAGTCCTGGGCGGTGAAGCTTGAATAAAGTAACACGCAAACACGCCAAGAGCCCTATAGACTTCCCATGATGCCTGCAGGGGAGCACGCAGGGAACTGAGAGCTGAGGTGGAGCTTGGGGTGTGTGTGTGGGGGTGTGTGTGAACACTCTCTGTGCTGTCCCTGTGTTAGATCCCCTGACACAAGCTCATTTAATACTCCAGGTGACTTCGAGTTAAGTGTTAACTTCCTGTCTTTCTTTAGGCTACATAATATCTTCTCCTGCAGGAAAACGATGCTCCCTCTGTAGAGAGGACGCTTCTGCTCTGAGTCATTCCAAGGCTTCCTCTGCGGTCCTTCTCAGCACACCCACTTGTGCGGTGGCAGCAGACTGGGCAACGGTGGCTGCGGGCGGTGATACAACACATTCCTCTGTGTGAGCACCTGGACAGCCAGGAAACACCTGTGTTCCCAGCCTCAGAGACACCAGGGAAGTTCACAGAAGCACACCACAAGCTAGCACCTTTGGGATCCAGATGCTTTCAAAGCGTGTGCCATGTTTGGAGGGAGATAAAATGGGATGAGAGAGAAGAGAAACCTGATTCGCCATGTAATGCATTTGGAGAGATTTTTTTAAGGATTATTTATTTAATTTTATTTATCATCATTATTATTATTAGTTTAATTTTCTACAGGGCACATTTGCTCACCAGAGAGAAACAAGAGAAAGTGAGAAAGCAAGTTGCTAGGTCCAGGACTCGAACCGTGGGTGGCCATGTGGAAGTCCAGTGCCTTAATCACCATGCCACCTGCTGGCCCCTAGAGAGATTCTTTTTTTTTTGGAGAGATTTTCACTGTAGGGCACGTGCGCTCGCCAGACAGACAGAGAGAGACATAGAGACAGAAAGCGAGAAATCACCCCCCAGGGGGGATGGTCACGCCGCAATCCATTCTCCTCCATTCTCCTCTCGGGATCTTGGGCACGCACGCACGCGCGCCCGGCGTGAGTTTTAAGCCACCGGGTCCGGGACACGAACCGCGGTCGACTACGTGGGAGTCCAGCGACATAGCCATTACGCTAACTGCTGGTTCCCGACCCTAGAGAGATTCTTTACATGTCGGTTTCCTTTTTAGAAAATGAAATCATGTTATTTAAATTTGATTGCTTAAAAAAAATCGACTCTGATGGTTCTTCTAACCTTGACTAAAGAAAATTTAAAGTTCAGTGGTTTAAAGAAAATAACTCAATACGTAACCTCTTATAAGCGAGTTATCAGTACTGAAGAACATTGGTCTTCGAGCAGAAAATAAAGTAGGATGGATAGTGCCCTTGCTTGCTTCCAGGAGTTTCCATTGAATTTGGCTACTGCATTAGTAAGAGCCTATTTAAAATGGCTTTTACTTTAACCACTCAATGCATCAATTCCTTTTTCTTTTTTTCTTTTTTTTTTAAGAATTATTTATTGGGACCAGCAGATGGCATAATGGCTATATCACTGGACTCCCACTTCATTGACTGTGGTTTGAGTGCTGGGCCCGCTGACTTAAAACTCAAGCCTGGTGCATGTACATGTGTGCTCAAGACCCTGAAAAGAGAATGAAGTAGAAGGGATTGCGGCATGACCATCCCCCTCGGGGTGGGTGGTGATTTCTGACTTTCTGTCTCTCTGTCTCTCCAGTGAGCACACAGGCCGTATAACAAAAATCTCTCTTTTTTTAAAAAAAAAGGGGAGAATTATTTATTTAATTTATTATTATCTTTAATTAGCAATAGGGAATGTGTGCTCATTAGAGAGAAACAGAAAGAGAGAGGGAAAGTGATAAAGCAAACTGCCAGGTCCAGGACTTGAACTGTATGGGAATCCAGCACCTTAACCACCACACCACCTGCTGGCCCCAATGTATCTCTTGCTTCCATTCTTGTTCTTTTATTCTCTATTCTTCCCCTCTTGGTACAAGAAACAAACAGCTAATCTAGTATTACCTAGTTTCTCACTAAGATGGTGCTATGACGTAGGTACTCTTACTGTCATTTGAGGGTAAAGACACAGGCCAGGTACACTCAGAATCTGATGGTTGCACCAGGAGTTAGCTAGGCCACCAGTCTGTCCCCAGCCCCTAAACCAAACCACTATCCTAAATTCTGGCATCAACTCTGCCATAGCTGATCATTAAATTAGTAGTTACAGGGAGGGCATCCTGTAAAATGAATTTGACCTTGAATTTGATAATAAGTCCCAATGCTTGTTATCTTTCCAACCTTTTGTTTAAAAGTTAGCAAGTTTTAAACTTTGTATAAAAGGTAATATGAGGGGCCAGCCTGTGGCCTGATGGTTAAATAAACTAG